GCAAAAAAGAAATACGGTTCGGCCCGTCTATGCATCGACTACAGGCGACTCAAAGACGTGACCGTATCTGACGCGTACCCCATGCATAACCTCAACAAACTCATACGTCGAATGAGGGGGGCAAGCATATTCAGCGTGCTGGATTTGTGAGCGGGATATTGGCAAGTGTCGCTAAACCAAAAAGCTATTAAGTACACGGCATTTCGAACCCGTCGGGGCCTATACCAATTCTATGTTCTACCATTTGACCTAAAAAACAGCCCTATGACATTCGTAAGGCTGATGGACGAGTTCGTACAGGTATACCTGGACGACGTCGTGGTATTCTCCGTGAAACTCGATGAACACCGATACCACCTAGACAAAATTTTGGAACGACTAAAAAGGTACGGACTAACATGTAACACGGGGAAGTGCAGAGTCGGAGCCACCGAAATCTCATTCCTAGGACACTTGGTAAATTCTGAGGGGATCGAAAAGCAACCAGAGAAGTTTTAAGGCATCAAAAACTTCCCCACACCCACCAAAGTCAGGTTAGACCTACGGATTTAACTCTATAATATATTTTCTTAGATATTTTGGTTACAATACAAAATATTTAATAAAACCTCGTTTTCAAATTTTCAATCCATAAGTATAAAAATTGAACATTTTAAACTAATTATTTGAAGTTTATCGTGATTTTGATGCATTTTACTAAAAGTATAATTTTGAATGTTCATTAAAAGAATTAATGTCTTTAATATTTGTGATCTGCTTTTATAGAAATGTATAGTTGACCATGAATTTAATTTTCAATCTGTTTAACACAACAAAAATTTTTTATCGGTGGGTACCTATATATTTATTGAAAAAAAAATTCTTATAGATACCTATAAATAGCTCAAAAAGAGTATTTTGATTTGAACTGTATTGTTTACAGAATAATTGCTTACATAAACACTCTGTGAAAATTTTAAGTATCTACTGTTCTTATACTTTCTTAGTTTTTAAATTACAACAAATTAAGAAAATCTTTATATAGGAAATAACTTTCTTTTAAACTTTTATATTCTGATCGGAGGGATGAATGTATCGATATTACAATGATACATTTTTTTTATGTCTGTTATCAACCTTTTGCCTTTTGGGACAGTAAAAACTAAAAATATTTCGATTATCTTCAAGAGCATTTGAAGTTAGACATATAGAGAATGGATACACCATACACCACATAGCTATAATATGGGTGTACTGGTGTATATATATCTATGTTTAATTTATAAATTAACAAATTCTCATACAAGGATTTTCTTATTTTTTCGTGATTTTAACTAGGTTGCCCTCATATTTTAATATATATACGATTAAGATATATAGCCGACAAATAGGGGAAGTAAATATACAAATAATAATTATAAATGATAATTATTGTATCAAAACATAATACATAATATTAAATCTAATTTTTTTTTTTTTGATAAATTATAACATTCAATGCCACATAATTATAATATTTTTATTGAAGTAATATGATAAAGCCGATTCTAATACCTGCGCCAGCTGAGCCTCCGCGACCACCATCGCTGCAACCGCGTACGTGTGTGACGTATATTATATCCTCCCTCCCCCGCCGGGTCCGAGTCACGTACGGGCAATTATTTTTGTCACTCGCGTTATCAACGACCTAAAGATTGTTATCAGTTATCACGGACTTGTATTTAATCAACATATATTTTATCACAGATATATATCATAAACTAGATTGCTAACTATTGATAATACGTGAAGCGAAGTTCCGCCATTTTATCTGAGGCCAGAAGTATTATCAATTATTATCACAGTACTAAATAAGGAATTATGACCACCAATTATGCCTACAGTAAAATATTGACATCAGTGACTGTGTTGGCACCGTCGGGCTCCTACGGAACCGGCGGTCGACCTAACGATTCTGGGGACGAGAGTATAGGGAACAAGGTAACACCGTTAAATCCCGTTTATGTATATATAAGAAGAACACTGAATGCTGTGTAGTAATTAAACATGTGCCTGTAGCAGTATAATGTAATATCAATAAAAACAAATACCCTTTAAGAGTACGACAGTATAAAAGCTGGCGGGGACGTCTCCCCGTTTCAGCATACAATAATTATAAGTGATTAGCTCACACTAGAGCGCAATCATAATAACAATAACAAAATATAATGATATAATCGACAACGATACCAGTGACGACGACGATGGATGCGCGGAGTGGAGTGGCGGCAGCTGTTACGGCTGCGGCAGTGTGTTGCTGAATTATCAACGCGCGGCGACGACGGAGACGACCTTGGCCTACAGCCGATCTATTTGAGTCGCGGCGGCGGCGGCAGCAACGGCTGTGTACGGAGACGTGTTCGGCGGCAGCGGCGACGATAGTGGTCGCTAAGGCGTGCAAAAACGAACGGCACTTTCGGTCGGCACGGTACACGACGGCCCGAGTTGAGGCCCACAGACGGACACCCGTGTAGTCGTTGGTTGCACAAAGATTTCCAGCGGAGGCACCACAATTCACTTAATACTTAGGCAGTGCGGCGGAAACGCACAAAAGACGTGAGCTCAACCGCCCGCTCTACGAAGCACACTAAAAGTAATAGACCGGTTGCGTGAGCGCGCAACTTGCACTCAACGGCGGCGGCTCGTATCGGCGTTTATACGCCACCGGCGCGCGCACCCGGTACGGCTGGTCAAGCCGGGTATACACGCAATGACGCTGAGTTTCGAACATGCTCCCCCATGGGAGGTTCATCCTCACAATCTTGAAGTGAAACGGTGCTGAGATACGAAGTGTGATGACGTGGTATGGTACGTCGCCCTAAATTATACATATTAAAAAAAAGGTAAAAAAAACAAGAGGTACATGAAGGGAAGACCTAAAAATTCCTGGGGTACAAAAAAGGTACAGGTACTACACAAGGTGCACACATAAAATAACATACATGGCCCACATAGGGTGCGTAAAATACATAAGGTACATGGCATACATAGGGTGCGTAAAATACATAAGATACATGGAATAAACAAAGTACATGACGTCATGACGTACATAGGGTGCGTAAAATACATAAGATACATGGAATAAATAAAGTACATGACATACATAGGGTGGTTGGTTTTAACGGTGTTACGTTAAAGGGCTTAGCATAGTTGTTACAATATTGACAACCGAGGTGACCACAAAACATAATTTAAGTAACTAAGTTCGTAAAAGCTATGTCACCTCTTTGTGTTTTCGGTTGAACTTTCGTCACCCGAATCCAGACAAGCGCCACCCGTGGACCCTCCACGGTGAACAGGTATGCGTGGGAAAATAATAAATTACTGTAAAGGATCCGGTGTGACACACCGACCAACCAAGCGCGCAGGTCCTTGCGACCTACTGATCCATAGGTAACTTCACCAACTTAACTACCGGTCTGGTGAGCTCCCCCGTAGCGGTGTTCAATTTGACCACTCGGACCACACCATCGTTACCGGGGGTCACATCTACAATGCGGCCCAACCGCCAACTCATGGGTGGATTTTGATCTTTGACCACTACCATATCTCCACATTGCAAGTTGGGCACATCAACTGTCCACTTAGTTCGGACTTGAAGGGAGCTCAGATACTCGGTGGACCACCGACGCCAAAAAGACTGGTGGCACTGGTGCAGTAGTTTCCACCTGTTGACCACCTTACTACAACCCTCGGGTATTGATACGTCTGGAACTGCCAGCAACGGCTGACCAATTAAGAAATGCCCCGGTGTCAAGTAGTCTAAGTCCATCGGGGATGACGACATCGGGGTTAACGGCCGTGAATTTAACACTGCTTCAATGCGGCACAGTACGGTGGTCATCTCTTCCCAACTGAAATTATGGACACCCACGAGTCGTGTCAAGAGGGTTTTAAATGACCGTACCGCAGCCTCCCACAAGCCACCGAAATGCGGTGCGCTTGGTGGATTAAAATGCCAGACGCAAGGAGCATGGGAGGTTACTGCGTGTCGGATAGTCGGGTCGTTAACTAAAGCGCGGAGGTATTTGGCGGCCCCCACGAAGTTCGTGCCACAATCAGAGAATATGTCCTGAGGCAAACCTCGACGTGCCACGAATCGGTCGAAGGCCGCCAAGAATGCATTAGTAGACAGCTCGGACACGACTTCCAGGTGGACGGCCTTAGTCGCCATGCACACAAACACCGCCACGTAAATTTTGTATTGTCGAGCCTTACGTAAACGACACTCACGCATAGACATTGGCCCAGCGTAGTCGATGCCTACCCGAGTGAATGGGCGACACATTTGGACGCGAGAGCTTGGTAAGTCTGCCATCACGGGGTGGGGACTTTGGGCGAGGGTTCGTACACAGATCGTGCATTGACCGATGACGCGGCGGATTACCGCCCTCACCGATATTATCCAAAATTGTCGTGTGATCAATGACGTAATTACCCGAGGCCCTGAGTGACATGTTACCAGGTGCCAATGTCGCGCGATTAGTACCGATAAGTGGGACTCCTTAGCCAACAAGATAGGCTGTTTCTCGGCACTGGTCAGATTAGAACGTGTCAAGCGGCCTCCGACGCAGACAACGCAACGTGCATCAACGAAGGGCCTCAGACCAGCCAATGACCGTTGGGCAGGGCGGCCGCTTGCTAAGTCTGCGTGGAGCTTAGACAACCAACAGGTTTGAGACTGTTTGACCAAGACGATGAGCGATTCTCCAAGTTCCTCACGCGTCAGATAATCTGTTGTGTATGTCTGTTGTCGGGCTCGGCCTGCGAAGCGACGCATCCAGGCAACCACTCTGACCATGTTATGATATGACGAAAATCGACTAAACCACTCGGCCTCCGGTTCAACTTGGACAGATACAGAGAGAACTTTCGTTTCCGGGAGCTGCTCAATAGGTACCACTGCGATCGACATATCCCAAGTGTCAACAGCGTCCTTCAGGAAGGCAGGACCCGACCAGTATACCAAGTGCTCGACCAAGTCAGAGGGCAATAAACCTCTGGAGGCACAATCCGCCGGATTTTCGGCCGACCGGACGTAACCCCAATGGCAGGATGGTACTAACTGACGGACTAAATGCACTCGGTTCGAGACAAACACTTTTACAAGTGTGAGGGTTGATCAACCATGAGAGCACTATCTGGGAGTCAGACCACGCAAAGATCCCGTCCACGCGGAGTCGGTCACCAAAAACTGTGAGGAGTCGAGTCAACCAGCGGGCCAGAAGGACGGCCGCACATAGCTCTAATCTTGGGATAGTGCTGGTCTTCATGGGCGCCGTTTTTGTTTTGGAGCCGAGAAGATGCACTGTGACCAGTCCTGACAGTGACGTTATTCGCAAGTATGCTACCGCTGCATACCCTCGTTCCGAGGCATCGCAAAATCCACATAATTCTACGTGGGACTCACTAGTTGTCAATACAAAACGCGGAATTTCGATTTTTGATAGTACTGGGAGGTCATTAAGTAAGAGGTTCCAAGTTCGAACCAGGTCATCTGGTAGAGGATCGTCCCATCCCTGTTCAGTTTTCCAGATTTGCTGCATGATATGTTTTGCATGAAAAATTACAGGCGCAAGGAACCCTATCGGGTCAAAGATTGTGGCAATGGTGGACAATACCGATCGTTTGGTGATAACCTTGGACACTGGGTGGACATCAAAACCAAAAATGTCCTTGACTGGATCCCAGCGGAGGCCTAAGACCTTGACCATACCTCCTCCTTTGTCATCGAAGTTGATCACCTCGGAAACTCGGTCAGTTGCAGCGACCCCCGACAATACGCGAGGCGAATTGCTCGACCACTTTTTTAGCTCAAGCGCGGAGCGGCCCAGGACGGCTATTAAATCTGATTGCACACTCGATAGTTGTTCCTCGGTGTCTGCCCCCATACAAATGTCGTCCACGTAGGTCTGATATTTCAATCCATCCCGGACTTCTGGGTAATCATTGCATTCGTTCTCGGCGATATCTTTTAACACACGTAGGGCCAAGAAGGGAGCGCAATTGACGCCGTAAGTGACAGTGTTCAGCTGATATTCCTTTAACTCATCCACTGGTGACGATCGCCAAAATATATGTTGAAAGCGCCGGTATTCCGGGCGCATGAGGATTTGCCGGTACATTTTGCAAACGTCGGCGGTGAACACAAACTTATGAAGACGGAAACGGGTCAGGATGTCCAGAATATCTAACTGCAACTTCGGCCCGGTGTGCAAACACTGGTTTAACGATAGGTGCGAACTGGCCTTAGCGGAGGCGTCAAATACCACTCGTATTTTGCGTGCCGCATTGAAAACCGGGTGGTGGGGTATGTAGTACGTCCCGACTTCATCAGCGACGGTCATGTGTCCCAACGATTCGTAATCTAACATGAACTCTTTATACGCGGCATACAGCCCTTCGTCGGCCTGGAGTTTCCGTTCCAGGTTCTGGAAACGGCGTATAGCAATTTGACGGGACCCAGGGAATAATTCGTCGCGATGAAGAGGCTTGAACGGCATAGGAACTACATATCGTCCCGTGATGTCACGATACCGCTCGGCGCTGTAGACAGCTTCACATTGGCCCTCGTCATGGAACGTGGCCGGAGCTGTATCGGGTTCTTCCACTTGCCAGAAACGATGGACCATGTCCTCAAGGGACACCGATAGGGTGACAGCGACGTGGGACCGACAGGTATCAGGTTCCACCTCGGGAACAGGACCGATGACGATCCACCCGAAGATCGATCCGTAGGCCGCAGGTAACGAGGGATCCAATAAAACGCGTTTCCCATCCATAACTCGGGAATATACGTCAGCTCCTAACAATAACTCAACTGGAGCAGTGCAATCAAACTGCGGGTCAGCCAACGCCAAGTGGGAAAACTTGTTCACCAACTGCGGCGGCAACTGTTGTGATGGCAGGTCACTGGTTATTTTGGGTAGAACCCACGCAGTTAACTTGATGGAATGCTCGTCATTATACCTGGGCGTAAGCAGGCATTCAACTCGACCTTTTACCTGCAGAACTGCTGCACCGGACACGCCCGTCAACGGAACAGTCCACTTATTACACTTCAACCCCAACCGTTCGACACACGGAACTGACATGATGCTTATCTGCGATCCGGAATCGATTAAGGCACGCACCGGTTGCATGCATCCATACCGATCACGCACGTGAACCACAGCGGTCCCCAACAATGCGGTAGGATGTTTCGACGAGCTGACGTAGCAGGCACTTGTCGAGGCGATAGGTTGTGCCTCCGTATCGTTGTCCTTATGAAGTAGGGTATGGTGGCGACCGTGGCAACGGGCACATGGCTTGGTTACTCTGCATTTTGTCGACCAATGGGTGGAGACGAGACACCGGAAGCACAGTCGTTTATCACGTGCAGCCGAAACGCGGTCATTCACTGACATTTTGGTAAACGCGTTGCACGACGTGGTGACGTGTTCCCCCGAGCAGAACAAACATTTTGACGGGGCAGTACCCATCGATTTTGAGGCGAGCATCACGACCTTTGGCTTCCGGCCAACATGGTTTGATGGCGCGGACTTCGTCCGGCCCTGAGTTGTTGGAGGGTTACTCGAGCTTTGCGTAAAGCTCACGGCCTCTAACAGGCTCACACGGTCTTTGATGTAGCTAACCATATCCAAAATAGATGGAAAATCATGTTTATTCGCTGCTTCGAAACCCTTCCTAGTGGAGTATGGCAAGCAGCGCGAAGCCAGAGAAAACAATATAAATTCACCAAGGTTTGGAACGTGCAGCGTGTGTAACATCGCCACCTGGTCGGAGAATAGCCCAAGGAAATCTTTCAATCCGCTCAGAGACTCCTGGGACTGTATCGGAGCTGACATTAACTTGTCGATGATCAAAGAGGCCAACTGCCTAGGTTTATCAAACTGCTCGACTAGCGTGGCCCAAGCGAGGTCGTATGTTCCATTGGACACCGAGATGGAACTAATGGCACTTAACGCGTCACCACGGAGGCAACCGAGTAAATAATAGAAGCGGTCGCTGTCCGTTAACTCGTCATCCAGCACGACTAGGTCCGTAAAGCGGTCGCGGAACGCCGGCCAGCCACTCAACTCGCCACTGAAGGACGGCAATGGGATTTCTGGGAGCCGAGAGCGCCTTGAAGGGCGACCGGAATGATTAGAATGGCGTGAGCCCGATGAGCGACTGGAACCCTGTGATAAGGCCCTGCTTGTGGGTAGGGGAGCAAATTCTTCCACTATAGCACGTGCGTCAAAGTACAGAGTACGAACCTCCGCTTCCAGAGTAACAGAATATTCTGAGGCTAAGTCCAAATCTAGTAACGCATTCAAAACCGCATCATTATGTCGAAGAAATGTATCCCATAGGGAGTCTAGGTCACCGGCTGCAGTTAATAATTTGGGCTTCAACTCGGGCGCATCCCTCACTCGGGACGCCATGTCAGCTATGGCCTTCATACGATTCAACGTGCTATCGCGATTTAGCAACGCGATGGTCTTCGCCCTATGTAACACTCGACGCTCGCGCTCCATGGCCTCTTTCTCTGACCCGGTCATTCTCGCTCAAATTACCGAGGACGACAGGAAAAGATCCAATATAACAATAAGTGCAGATGTACAACAACCTAAATCAGCACCTGACACAACAACACCCGCGTGACGAACGGGATAGGTCAATATAGTTCCTAGGAGGACGAGACTAATCCGCGCACTACAACAATACTAACAACCTGTAATGTATGTAGACAACGGGTCGTATTACTACCTACCTAACGTTTTCGTGCTATGCCTACTGACAGCAATATACGAAAAACACAAGTACACAACCTAGAATAATAATAATCGACAGATAGGTCGCTACACCGGCTAATAGACAATAGTGTTAATCACAATACCTCCATTAGAATGGACTTGACGCGCACAACACGCGTACCTATTATATTACGTTACAGCTTAAGCAGCACTGCGGCTTAGGAACAAAACAATGTCACACCCGACCAGTAAATCGAGTATACCCGTAATTGCATACACCCAGAAACGCTAACAAACTTTGAATTGTGGAGTAACCACGCCCTGCTACCAATGTGTTGGCACCGTCGGGCTCCTACGGAACCGGCGGTCGACCTAACGATTCTGGGGACGAGAGTATAGGGAACAAGGTAACACCGTTAAATCCCGTTTATGTATATATAAGAAGAACACTGAATGCTGTGTAGTAATTAAACATGTGCCTGTAGCAGTATAATGTAATATCAATAAAAACAAATACCCTTTAAGAGTACGACAGTATAAAAGCTGGCGGGGACGTCTCCCCGTTTCAGCATACAATAATTATAAGTGATTAGCTCACACTAGAGCGCAATCATAATAACAATAACAAAATATAATGATATAATCGACAACGATACCAGTGACGACGACGATGGATGCGCGGAGTGGAGTGGCGGCAGCTGTTACGGCTGCGGCAGTGTGTTGCTGAATTATCAACGCGCGGCGACGACGGAGACGACCTTGGCCTACAGCCGATCTATTTGAGTCGCGGCGGCGGCGGCAGCAACGGCTGTGTACGGAGACGTGTTCGGCGGCAGCGGCGACGATAGTGGTCGCTAAGGCGTGCAAAAACGAACGGCACTTTCGGTCGGCACGGTACACGACGGCCCGAGTTGAGGCCCACAGACGGACACCCGTGTAGTCGTTGGTTGCACAAAGATTTCCAGCGGAGGCACCACAATTCACTTAATACTTAGGCAGTGCGGCGGAAACGCACAAAAGACGTGAGCTCAACCGCCCGCTCTACGAAGCACACTAAAAGTAATAGACCGGTTGCGTGAGCGCGCAACTTGCACTCAACGGCGGCGGCTCGTATCGGCGTTTATACGCCACCGGCGCGCGCACCCGGTACGGCTGGTCAAGCCGGGTATACACGCAATGACGCTGAGTTTCGAACAGTGACATCGTCAATTGCAAAAACGGCGAGCAAAAGACAAAAACTGTTTTATTTTATAACATATAATCTACTCTGATCAATGTTATATTAACAATAGCTTACTATAGTAAATGTAAAGCTATAATGATTTTTATATTATACAATCTGACAACTATAGTGCGGCCAGCGAAACTAGAAGCTTGACGGTCACGCGCCCTAGTGGCCGTTTTTCATTAGGGCTACGAAGAATACTTTCCCGAGTAAAATAATTTCAAACACATTTACACTTGTTGTATATACCTATTTCACAGCTACTCGTTCGGTACTCGCGCTTATCGTATATTCTTACGTGTGGCTATGAAACGGGCCTTTACTATAAAGACATAACATTTGATATTTTTGTAATACACATTTTTTATTAATTTATTATCAGTTATCACGTTATCAAAATAATAATATAATAATAATAACATTTAAAATATTTACAATTGTTTTCGAATTTTAATAATAATTATAAAACTACTCATCGTCGTCGTCGTCATCATCGTCGCTCGAACTGCTATCATCTGGATAAATTGTTAAAATAATCGGCTCTAATATTTCGTCCCTCAGTCCTGCTTTAAAGAAATCTTCTTCTTGAATTTTCACGCAATGTTCTCTACATTTGGCCCAATCATCAGCAGTTATAGCATCAATTTCTTTATGGACAAGTGCCTCAACATCAGCAATTTTAAATGTTGAGTTTTTTTCAGCAACTCTCCCTTTAAATTGTGCCCAAATTAATTCTACGGGATTATACTGACAGTGGTAAGGCGGAAGTCTTACCACTTCATGTCCCATTTGTTGTGTCAATTGATCCAGCTTATAAATTTTTCCACGCGGCATCGCAAGTTTGACTTTCGCCCGTAATTCATCTAGAGTTTCTACAGGAGAAAAGTCTATATTTTTTTTGAGCAACCATTGTTGAACATCCGCCTTCCTACTATTTGACTTCGGGTAGTCCTCGAGTAATGCAGAATGATATGACGCGTTGTCCATAATAATAACGCTGGGCTCTTCCAAGTTCATTAAAATTTACAAATACCAATTTTCAAAGATTGTAGCATTCATCTGTGAATGATAATCTTTGGTATTGCCAGAGTTACAACGAAAAATTAATTTTGCATCTTTGACAAAACCAAAGGAAGGAGACCCAGCTTGACAAATTTTAAGGCGACTGCCTTTCCCTGTAGGCACTTTTAGGCCCTCTATATTTTCGTGGTTTTGCCAAATATATCCTCGAGTATGATTTTGGTTAACCCAGGTCTCGTCTAAATAGACTATTGGTCGAGTATCACCATTTATACGAAGCTCGATCATTCTACGTAAAAATTTTACGCGCGCTGCTACTATGTCCGACCGTTCCATTAGAAATTTTCGACCGTCATTACACCTTTTATATTTAAAATTCAGTTTTTTCAAAATAATTTTTACTGATGATTTTGACCCCCGGTAATCAGTTTTTTCTCGCAATGCTGCTAAAATGTTTGCACTTGTTGGAAATTCTCCCTTGTCATAAAAGCTGTGAACCACCCTTCTGACCACTTCACTGTCGAAATCGTCAAGATCAGTGACAGGTTTGTTACGACTGTAACGTTTTCTAGGTGACCGAAATTTTATATCTGTAGAACTTCCGACACCTAACTCTTCTTCAACACCAAGAGATATAGTTTTGCTTTCCTTACAAATTCTCTGTACAGTAGACCGACTTACCCCACAAGCATCTGCCGTATGCTCTTGACATAGTCGGAAAAAATTTGCCAACATTTTAAAATAATTGTACACGTTGTATATAGTTTTTTTTGTTTGAGAATGTATATCTGGCCGGATCGACATTTCAATTGAACAATATACGCACAAAAATGGTGAAAAACCCCAAAAAAACAAAAATGTACAAATAAACAGTAAGAAATTCGTAACAAACTCAGTTCAAATTATAACAACTAGTACACACAAGACACAAAATACATGTTACACGAAGCAAAGAGGTCCAGTGACTAACATAAAGGTCATACAGCAGCAGTGGCGTTTCCTGACTTTCGGCGTTAGGCGTTAATGTGTGAGGAAAACAATTAGGAAAACCCCCCTTATGGGAAATAAATTCGTATCAACTATTAATAATCAACATATTATTATTAAAATTATTTATTATATATTATGTTTTCGACGATCGGCGTTGCAGTCTTGCAGTATAGTACCTATGGGCTACGACGTAAACAGGATAACGTGCAGCCGCGACGATCCCCACTAACGGTCCAAACACAGTGTATAGGCTAGCGCTAGACTAGTGACTAGTGAGTAGTGGCTAGTCGTTACTCGTTAATTTCATTTTCAACGACTTGGTCTAGTATTAACATGGCACCGAATTTATCCGAAAATATCACGACAAATTACGAACATGAGATATTAGATACCACAAGTCGTTGTTCGAATCATTAACGTCCTACACGGCTACACCTTACACAAACACAACAATACAACATAATACAATATTATTCCGTAATCGGCGTCGTAGCTGCAGACGGCGCGGGCGCATGGTCGAGTTTAGAGCTTAAAATAGACAATAGTTTATAATTTGATATTATTATTTTTACATAACAATTATTTTAAGATTTTGTAAATACAATTATATAACCATGTAATAATATACTAATATGAATTACAAATTACAATATTATGCGGCGTTCCCACGAGGCGTGAATTTAGGGAGTGATCCACGCCACGACACCTTCGTTCGTATCTCACGACTGAAAATCAAACATGTTTGATTCTACCACGACCCAGTCGTGGGGCCGAAAGCGTGGTTGACTGTCGTGATTAACGCCTCGTGGGAACGCCGCATTACACACATGTATGACATCAATGTTTAGGGCGTTAACACACAACTTGCACACCCAGAGAAAACGCCACTGTACAGCAGTTGGTTTAATGGTTAGAGGTTTGTATTAAAATCTACAGGTATTCGGCATGCAACGGTCACACAATAGTTGACTATTATATATGCGTTATAGGCTATCGTATATTATAGGCTATCGTATATTATAGGCTATCGTATATTTTCCCCCCGAATTGTATTTCAACTATAATACGTATCGTAAACTATAATCACAGCACTACGTAGTAACGCATTTTACTGATTATTTACAATAGAAGGAGAACCACTTTTCGTGAGCCGGATTACAACCTAACATAATATTCACTATAGTCGGGGCCAAACGAATGTGCGGTTGGTGGCTCCGCCCACTAGGCGATATCACACTGAATAGTGAGTAACAGCTGCTGGCGGTATATTTGAAAATAAAGTAACCGTGCTATTCATGTGTGAACGTTACCTAAAACTATGTGTTCTAATTAGTCGCCGGCAAAAGTAGGCGGAGCCACCAACCGCACATTCATTTGGCCCCGACTCTATATTCATTTGGAAAAAAAGATCGCGCAGCTGCACAAACAACCAAAATATTTAGAACCCCTGGTTTACACGAAAACGGCCACTAAGGCGAGTAACCGTCAAGCTTCTAGTTTCGCTCGCCGCACTATAATGTTTAATTTTTAATACTTGGGTATGTGATTTATTTAATTTATTTTAGAATTT